TTTTCTACTCACTGCTATTAGAAAATGTAGCTCTACGATGTTTTCTAAAGTAAGCGCAGGGTGACATCTTTAAAATTGAACAGCTGACCTTTACACGGCGTTTCATCTCCTGGTCCTTATGGTTATTTGAAGCTCCTGGTGTTTACTGATTTCCTCAGAGCTCCAAGTTTATTACTGAACAGGAACTTCAACATGACGGGTGCAAACGATTTCAAATGAGCCATTTCAACATTGAACTATATTACATAAATGCAGAAAAAACTGTGCCGCCTGGCCTCTAGTTTACCAGTTTTAACGCCTGTCATTTTTATGGTTTATTTCAGGCGTTTTAATTTGGTGTGGTACACCTTAAAGCAGTTCCTCGACAAAAAAAGATGAAAATAAAATTTGAAATCAAATAATTTCATTTCTCATAATGGAAAAACAAATTTTGCAATGATATATTTTATTTTCAGCATAATAAATATTTATTGTATAAAGATAAAAAAACAACTGTTTTAGTTTGTGCACATAAATGTTGCTCACCTTTATCTTGTGCTTGTGATCTTGTGATCCGAAGATCGCCGGTTCACGCCCCAGCCATGACAACATCAAAATTGTGGGTGGGGTAGGTGAAGCACCCACACCTGCCCCCACCCTCATTCGCCCCACTCTGGACCCATGAGCAAGGCCTTAACCCCCATCTGCTCCTAAACAGGTCTCTGTTGAAAATGAGTTCTCGTGGCTCAATGAGACCACCTGGATAAATAAAGGTCAATGAAAAATGATGGTGTCTCCAGCAGAAGAACATGTTCACTCTGAGGGTGTGGATGATGATTGTTGCACACACAGATACCTGGTTGTCACTTTGACATATTGTCCCTCACACCCCACCAGCAGGTCACTGGATTCACTGAGGTTAGAGTTGATACAGACTTCTGCACCTCTGTGTCTCTGCCTGAATCTTCTCTGTGGTTCTCTGGGGTTTAGGGCTCTGATCATCGTCCTAACTGACATGAGAACACATCAACAATAACATGGTTGTGTTATTATTTATCAAAACCATTATCTAGGCTGAGAGATACTGGTTTAACTGGTCAACAACATCCTTTACAGTTTACTTGCCTCCACCATGCAGCTCCACTGTAGAAAAAGCAGCAAACTTTAACAACAATGTTTGTGACTGTCCTCCCCCCCCCCCCCCCCCCTCGCTTTTCTTTTGTCTGTCCTCACATCAGGGTCAGAGGCTCCTGTGAGGAGAAACCGTGAACATTAGTGACCTGTTTAAGCAGCTGACTGGATGGATGAGCACATTTTTACTGACTGTTACTGTCAATCTTTAGTTAGCTTCTGAGTTTAGCTAGCTACATAGATAAAGCTACACACTAATATCACGTTAGCGTTACATGGATCCAAGTTTAACTCACCGCAATGCACGTATTAAGTTGCAGTAACTTTAACAAACGTGAACTTACCAGCTGAAATCCCAGGCACAGCTCCGTCCTCGGAGTTCTTTGATGAAGAGAAGTCCGGTCACGGTGATGTTGAATCTGGCTGTTCAGGCGCTCCAACACTCACAGACTGACTAACGCTGAGAGAGGAGGAGGGGAGGCTGCGCTCCTCTCTCCTTGCAAACGCAGAGCAACATTCCGCTCAAAAATTGAAGCTGTTTGACAACACACGCTGCACACGTGAACCACCATCTGTGGGCGTAACCAGCACCATAGACCTACAGCTGTACGGCAGCTCTATACAGCTCTGGGTGTACACGCGTAGTCTGTTTGCTATATGTCTCCGTTTTACCTGCTGGCATGCTGAAACCACGTGTCCCGTTACAGCCAATACCGAAACTCGACACAGAAAGAAGAGTCATGTTTCAGTCCATACACTGACCGAACTGCGTCGGTCGGTGCCATAAAGGAACCTCGGTTCAGTATACAGCCCTAATCACCACCTTCATCTTACCGGCCATGGCTCACTTTGTATCCACTTTGGCTGCTGCGTTTGTAATATTAGTACACTTTAGAAACAAAGTTGAATAGATTTTGACAAGTTTATTAATTAACTGCTATTTTTCATGGGTTTGGTAAAACCTGGACGTTCAGGGCTGTAGCCTTTGTGTGTCAAAATTGAGCTGTAGCAGTGTAGTGTTACTGAAAGTATTTGATGCTAGCAGCAACTCTTTGTGTGAATGAAAAGTTATTGCAACACATTTTGAACATGTTCACAATAAAGGCAAAAAGACTGCAAGCCTCTTCAACTCGTGTAAGAAAAAAAAGCTTTGCTAAACGGTTTAAAAAAGTGGAGTCTAATGTTAAAGCACTAACTTTTATCATGCACTGCCGTCGCTCACACAAACTGTCTGTAATGGGACAACAACGTAAGTGAACACAACTCAAAATGGCCCATAAGTCATAAGTGTCCCTGTCCTGTTCAAAGGTGAGCTTTAAGAAATTAATCAAGTCCATCAGAACCAAAGAGGCGGAGCAGAACTCTGCTGTGCTGAATCGGTGGATACAATCTGTGTCAGACATCTCCCTCGTGTCATTTACTAAAATGAATAAACTCACTTTGTTGATCCTCTTTGTGGTTACCAGTATCATCATCAATATTCTCTTGGTAAAAACAATCTGTATTAAAGTAAAGGGGTGTGAGAGAGTCACATCCCAAAGACGGTTGTATTGCAAAACATGCTGAGTAGGAATTATGTGTGCAGTGTTTCTGTTTACGATGTTTTCTGGTTTGGCATTTATTTGCTGTAAACCGACACCGTGAGTCAGAGACTGTTTGTGGTAGATATGAAAGCACAACGAGGGTGGTGACATCACTGGGCGGAGCTTAGCTTTGCTTCGTTCTACAAAACATAGCACAGCATCGCTCCTTGTAAATCACCTAAATCCTTTATGCTTTCCGTGCAGAGAACGGTCTTTAAAAATATTAGCAAACTTGAATTTGTCAGATTTAAATTAAGCAGAAGGTAATTCCATTAATTGTTTTCAAAGTTAGCAAAAACGCTAATCCGCTAAACAAGAAGTTAGTTCTGCTATTAGCGGCACTGAACCCGCCACTGTGCAGAACAAATCCTGAAGTTTATAGATAGTCTCTTTTCTGAAGAGCCTACAGGCCATCTGTAAAGCTGTTTTGTACACACGAGTGTTTCATTCTTCCATTTAGTTTGACTTTACTCAGGTCATTTATTTATAGAGCACATTTAAAACGCATGTGCATGCTTTGCATTTCTTAGGATTTTTAACTACCAACTTAAAAATATATATATGTGAATGTGTTTTTTAATAGTACCATTTGTGTGATTAATTATCTTTAACACCGTTTCTGTATTCATGAATGAAGCATGAACTCACAACTCTACAGACCATCAACAATGCAACATGTTACATGTCACATGTCCAAATCACACGGAGCGGACCCTTGTTCTCCACGGCGCTGTGTTTGGGACTACTTTGTTTATTTGTTGCATCTTGTTGTGTCCAGATTAAAATTGTTGCTTTGCTAAAGCTTTATTTTTAAACTCATGTTGCATTCAAAGGGCTGAGCCGTGGGCGACTTGGTGTCTTGATACGGGGCGGCTGTGGCTGAGTGGTTAGAGCAGTCGTCCTCCAGTGCAAGAGATGGGGGTTTGATTCCAGCAGCAGTCACATGTTGAAGTGTCCCTGGGCAAGACCCTGAACCCCTCGTTGCCTCAGATGTGTGTCCCGTCGGTGCTTGAATCTGTCTCTTGTAAATGAGTCCCTGAGGCTCGAGGAGACGTTACCTGTATAAATAAAGGCTGAATGAATGTTTGTGATAAAGCACCGATTATTTTCTGTACAGATCTAGTAGAGTGCTGTTATGAGGGCACAGATTGTAGTGTAAAGAGCTGTGTCTTGACAAGATGGGAAGGTGCTAGATGGTGCTACAGTCCAGTTACCATTTAGTATTCCTAACAAATCCACTGTAATGTGTCCTGGTAAGTTTGTGTTTGACCGGTGTGTCCTGTCTGTTCCTCTGCAGTGTTTACGGCTGAGCAGTACCAGCAGCATCAGGAGCAGCTGGCTCTCATGAAGAAGCAGCAGCTGGAGCAGAGTCAGCAGCAACAGATCAACAACACCACAACACCTGCAAGCACACAGGTTAGTCTGGACGAACACACTTGAAACACTTGAGCCCATCACTCCTGTAGCCACAGTCGTCCTACGGTAACAAGGACTTTGAGCTAAAGGTCAGTTCGTGTGTTCTTGGGAAACAGCTCATTCCCACATGCAGTATTGATGCATGTGGATCAGTTCCAGTTTGGCAGCGATCTACTCAAGTGTTTCATGTCGTCTCCCCTCTGTGTGTCTCTGGTTCTCCTTTAGATTCTTGTGCCCAAGACGTTGGACCAGGCCAGCGCTCAGTTTGCTGCTTCAGCCCTCGTCACAACAGATAAGCTGCTTGGGTTCAAATCCAAAGAGGAGCTGGTGCTGGCAGGTGGAGTCAACGGGGTGCTGACGAACGCAGGTGAGTTTCCTGTTGCCCCCAGTACCAGGCAGGTTGTTTGTTTGTTTGTATATTTTTACAGTTTGTTAAACACCTCCTAAATCTTGGAGATCATTGTCTAGCAAGAGATTACGGTACATTAAAAAATCTCCATAATTTCTGGATTAGTTTGACCTCGTTCTTTTGACTGACTACACTGGGGCCTCTAGAGAAGAGTTCAGGAATGATTTAAAATGGTTAAAGGGACCGAAGGGACGAAAATGCATCTGTGTGGTTTGACTTTACACATATTTAATCTTGACATGTTTTCTATGTGCTGTATGTCTTTGAACATGTGAACAGAATCTTAAATAAAGTCTGAAAGAGTTCTTAAACGTCACTCCCAGCAGCTCTGCAATTACAGTGTGTTGCATCAACATTTACAGTGTCAAGATTGAAATCAGCCTCACAGAGTCAGGATGTGTTGCAGCGCAAGTCAATTGGATTGCATTAAATTGTGCAGGTGTGCCACTCAAACTTGAGCTATGAATTTGAATAATGGCAATAAAATCCTCCTGTTGTGTGTTTGTCCTTTGCATTTATGAGCTGCTCTGTTCAGCAGGCGTTTTCAAAAACCTGCACCTCACCAGCGCCGCAGCGACGCTTCACCAGACCAACCAGTCGACCCACACTACCACCGTCACGGCCCAGACTTTCCTCCAGCCCTCTTCCAACTCAAACATCTCGACACCTGCCGCCGCTCCCGGCGCCCAAGCAGCAGCAGCTCTGGGGCTCCTGGGATGCAGCGCTGCAGGCGCCACCCCCACCACCACTCAGGTCCTCATTGGGAACAACATCTGTCTGAGCGTGCAGTCAGCTGCCAGTCTCGCTGGGCGCCACATCCCCCGGACCCTCGGCAACATGCCGGCCTCTGCCTTAAAGCTGTCCACCTCCACCAATCTGTCTGGAGCGTCATCCATGGACCTGAGCTCCAGGTGAGACTGCAGCCTCTTCTGCCAATAATTCTGGCTTCTTCTCTTACATGATGTGTCCAAATTCAAACACTGTTGTTGTAGGGCACAATGTTTATTTTGTCTCGTCATGTCCATTTTCCCAATAAGTCGGTCAATAAGGGGAGTGGTGGTGCAGAGGTCAGAGAAGGTGGACCTGTGATCGCAAGATCGCCGGTTCAAGCCCCGGTACCGACAACATCAAAAATGTGGGTGGGGTAGGTGAAGCCACCCACACCTGCCCCCACCCTCATTCTTCACCCCACCCTGGGCCCATGAGCAAGGCCCTTAACCCCTAACAGGTCTCTGTTGAAAATGAGTTGACCTGTGTAAATAAAGGTCAGTGAAAGTCACTGTTGGACAAATGAAATGTTTTTATTCTGCTAAATCAAAGCCTGTGAAGTCAGTAGTTATTGTTGGTCCTCTGTGGCGGACTGGACACAGTTTGTGTTTGCAGATACTGTGACAGGCAAATGAGTTGGTGATTTATCAATAACGTTCCATTTTTCATCTCATTTCCTATAATCAGGTTTAGCAGTAGTTTGTTTAAAACAGGTTCTGAAGAGGTGCTGCTGGGTGGACTGTGTTCAGACATTGTAACATCTGCATCTTATTCACTGAGTTCAGATTTCCCACGAACGTCTAGTTTCTCACGGCTCGCTCTTCATCCTGAAAACACAGAACTGCAGCAACAGTTTCATTCCACCTTTATTTCTACAGGTTAATCCCATTGAGCCGCAGGGACTCTGTTACAAGAGAGACCTGGTTTTAACAAAGAGTGGTGACAACAGTGGACAACAACCACAAAAGGAAGCATTGAGAGGAACAAGTGAAAGAAAATGACATTAGAAAATTAAACCAAAACCAGCTAGCTTATAACATGTCAGGAACATGTCTGCATTGGTTTTGGCATGACTTTAACAGATATTTAAAGTAGGAATGCACAATATACAGTACATGTAGAAACTATAGACATTTAGATAGACATTTGTCTTGTACTGGTTAACGGCAGTAATGCTCGTTGATGACGTCATCAGGTGGCATCAAAGCGTCGAGCAAGCAGGAAGCAGCACGCTGAGAGCGCAGGGGAGGAGCTTGTTAAAGAGGCGGGAGCAAAAACAGCTGTTATCTTTGCATTGCAGCCACGAGCGCTCCATCAGAAAGAGCATTTAGCAGTTTCATGCCACTGGTCTTTGTTTCATGCCACTGGTCTTTGTTTCAT